GCATTTTCTTTATTTCCCTCCAGACCCTCAGTATGTTTTATAATTATGTTGTCTATTTTCAATTTCTGGACATCTTTTGGGTTAAGGAATGGTAAAACTGGCAGTTCTGTACCTTTAATTTCGCCTTGTTCTATCTGGTTCCATATTAGGTCCCTATCTCCCTCCAGCCAGTGAACTATCGCTGTTAATTGGGCTGCCCAATAATAATATTTCAGATTAGACTCTACTGTCTTCTGTGTGTTACGCACCAGGTTATTGTTAAGCACCGGGACACCAGCTGGTCCACCTCCCTCCTAAATGCAGACTCATCACCATCCGTGATGAGCCCGATGAGGGTGGGGTCAGTTTGACGGAGTCCTGGCTGGAGGTGCAGCAGTTGGTGTAGATGTCCTCTTCTGGGTCTGCAACCTCAGAGTCATCGTCCATGGGACAGGCGCTCATCGCAGCAGGAAGGCGTGGATGTTGGTGGAAGAGCAGGAAATAGGGACTGTGGCGGGTGGAGTGCTGATCACAAAAAAATCCCTCCATGAACGAATTTTCTCTTTCACTTGTCAATAACTTCTGTTTTTTTTTTACTTACCGGTAAGTTTAAAAACACATTCTTAAGAGGATGCTACACTGTAAAGCACCTTTAAAGTACTACAAAATGTCAAAACAGGAATTCCTGCTTTGCAGTGTTGATGCACGGCGAACATCCCAGCCATCATGGTTCTGGTTGGCGTACTCTCTGAGAGCGCTTAATGTTCCAGTTGGTCCTCTCACCCTTTGAGTTGTATTGGATAAATAATCATGACTGATTTCACATGAGGTTAGATATCCAAATGCTAACCTGCCCGTTGGTCTGAGGGTGGTACGCACCACATTTTTAATACTCAGCATGCTGAAAATGCTGTCGTTGAGCTGCAGTGGCATGAGCAGACTTGGTCTAACTACTGTACATCATCTCATAAGTCAAATTCCGACTAACACTTTCAAAACTTTTATCTGGTTCACAAACTCCTTTCCTTGGTCAGTGATGATTTTCCTGACCACGGCAAAACTTAGACGTCACGATTGCAGAGACCTCAGCTGCAGTCTTGGACTTAAGAGGTTCTGCAATCACCCACTTGTATACAGATCGGTCACGGTGAGGACATATCGGCTCCCTAGACGTGTTTTTCGGGAGTGGTCCAATTCAGTCCATGCCCAGCGCCTACCCAGGTTCTTTTACCTGCAGGTCACAGAACTTATCAAATGAAAATGTAAAGCTACCGTGCAGCACACAAGCTAATTAAATGGGTGACAGGCTTGAGGATGTATCTTTATGGGATGTAATGCTGGAGCCACGGTCTTGATTGGGTCATTCATCCGGCAGCGATGACAACATCTGACCTGAAAGATGCATTCCAAAGAAGACGTCTAGGAAACCGACAAACCAGTCGATGCAAACTGATAACAATAAAATGACGACATAAACTAATGTTGAAATGTAAGTGTGCACGTAAACACATTCGATTCATTCTAGAATTATATCTGTCATGTTCTGCGGGTGGAGATGGCAGACATGTGTGGTGGTGGGTTTCAGGAGGCAGAAGAGCAGGCAACGGATGAAAAAATAAAAATAGTTTAATTGTAGAACGGGAGCGACAGGACAAACGAACATGCACAAAACGACAATGATCCGACACAGGACATACGAGACGGGAGGTATAAATACACTGGGGAAAATCAGGAGCACATGGGCATGTTAACAAAGGCAGGTGAAACCAATACACAACTAATCAGGGCAGGAGAGAAACACAGTCAGGAAGGCAGGGGCAGATCGTGACTATATCGCCAACAGATGTTTTAGAAAAAATTGGGAACAGGTTCTGATTTATCTTCTTAACTCAAATAAGTCCTTACCCATTCACGGATGTCCTGGTTCAACGCTGGCCTGGAAAAGCCCACAACGACCCTGTCTCGGCTACCTCTGACACCGTTGTGGTTCCCGGTACCAGGGTTAATGCGGCGTTCCATCAGAACGGACTTCTTCTCCTCCTCTGACATGACTACCTGGCATACTGGGGCCAGTGTAGAAGAGTTGTCTGGTTTGGTATTGATGTAGTTTGGGATAATACATCAGCACCAATATGGTACATTTACCTATAGGCTCTACATTATAGTGTATTTACGGCCATTTTTAAAGCTAGAAGAAACCCACACACCAAGTTATAGATCTATAAAGAGAGATAGTTTTGATATTAAAAAGAAAAGATTAATTTTCGTACTTACCTTTTAGCCTGTAATTAGGCACCATTCTTCTTATTTTGCGGTGCTGTTGTTCAGTCCGGGGAAGCGCTCCGTTGAGGAGAAAAGCATGAATTGGTTTGTATACGGAGGTATCCATTGTTTAAATGTCCCGAGCGGTCGAAAAGAAGGCAGAGCTGTTGAGAAATGGTCGGAGCCATAGATATGTATGGTAGGAGCTCCACGTGTTGCAAAGAAAGGAAGTGATGTAAGATTTGCACATGCGTTGTACAGATCGGGTAGCTCCCTCCCTTCTCTACTTCCTACCTCCCCTCCTTCATCCCTTATCTTCTCCTTCCCTTCCCCCATTCTTTTATTCTCTTCCTTCCTTCCTTCCTTCTCTTCTTATCATCATCTACTTCCTTCCTTCTTTTATATCATTGCTTCTCTTCTTACCAGCCTCTACTTCCTTAATTTTTCCCTTCTTTCTCCTCTCCTTCCCTTCCTCTCTTTGTTCCTTCCCTCTTCCCTTCCTTCCTCTTCATCCCTACTTCCCCTCCTTTCCAGTCTTCTTTTCCTTCCACCCTACTTCCCCTCCATCCCTCCAGCCTTAACACAAGATTAAAAGATCAGTATCAACAACCATGTGACGTTCAAACACAACAACTGATTTTAGTAACATCAAAGTTTTCCGTCTCCTTGTTCTTCAGGAGTTCAGCAAAACCATCTCACTAGATCCTTCTGGTTCCAGAAATGAGGAGAGATGGGAATTGTAGCATCAACAAGTAGGGATGTCCCGATACAACTTTTTCACTTCTGATACGATGCTGATATTACAGCCGTCAGTATTGATCGATCCCAATATCAGTCTGACTAGTGTCAGTGACTTTAATCCTCATACCAAGCACTAAGCAAGCATTTAGCAACAGTGGAGAGGAAAACTCCCTTTTAACAGGAAGAAACCTCCAGAGAATCCTGGCTCAGTATAAGCAGCCATCCTCCACGACTCATTGGGGATGGAGAAGACAGAGCAGACACACACACACACACACCAAGTAATGTGTCTATAGTTATATTGTGATTTCTTAAATATTCTATTTGGTGAGAGATAAACTTTATTGTATTTATCCTAGCGAATCTATAATTAAATGGATAAACTAGTATTAGCACATCAAAAGTCAATGAAAACAAAAAGTTATTATCAGGAGAGGGAGAATGTTGAAGTGGTTAGCAGCAGTGTGCTAGTCGATGGCCCCCTCCATGAGGCCACCACAGCTCAGCAGAACATCGTTGTAGCTTCTTCTGGGGAGAAAAACACTTAGAGAGAAAATAAAGTTAACAGCTGAAATAGCAGGAAATAATACAGTTAAAGAGCAGATAGTAGAAGAAAGTAGTAGAGTGTGGAAAGTGGTCAGTGAGTCCTCCAGCAGTCTAAGCCTATAGCAGCATAACTACATAGAAATGTGATGCTGAGAATACCAACTAGCCTCTTGAGTTTTCCTTTGGATTTGAGTCTGAAGACATGAAGGCAGCTGGTATGAGGCCTTTTAGCCACCAGTGTCTCCATCTCTGAGGACATCACCACTCAGCAAAGAATCTGGAGAAGTGAAAATAAAAAAATTACACAAATAATAACATTTCTACATGAAAGCCCAACAATATGCAGTAAAAGTGAAAATATATTATTAGACCTTTATGTGGCGTTATTTGGTCGCTCAGTGGTTGAAACAGATTCAGTTTCCACAATTTTACAGCAGTTCAGGCCATTTCATTCTATTAGTCTTTATACCACTGTTGTTTTTATTTCAAACAAAAAATATCCATCCCTGTCGGACATGACCCGAGGATCCTCTGGGAGTGCTACACTTTGCCGCTGTTGGCAAGGACGTAATTTTCACTTTAGAAGTGGGGGGGACACGGGGGGGGGGGGGGGGGGGTATCTTTACAGTACGCTCTAATGGGAAACAGGCTTCAACACAAACGGTTGTTTTCCGCTTGGTCCTAGAGCTCAACCAGTGTCAGTTTAATATAGCGTAATATTGTTTTTGGATGGTAAAAAGTGCAGGGGTCAAAACTTGACTTTGGAAAAAGTGGGGGGACATGTCCCCCCCCCCCCAAAAAAAAAAATTACGTCCATGGCTGTTGGTGATATGTGGAAAAAACATGTGAGTACCCACATAATATAAAACTGACAATGGGTAATGGCTTATTAAATACTTTACGTATTTCTTTGATTTTATTGAGATTGTTTGTCTGTTTCATCGACATATAAATATGTCTGGTTGTTCATTCCTGGCTACATGGTGACTGTTGCCCTCTAGTGGCCAAACCGTGACTCTACGCTGTGTTGAGGATCCAATCACTGCATAAAGAGTCCGCATTCCTGGCTGAATCCCGACCGTGAGAAGAGCCTCGTCTTTGGAAAAATGAGTCAATTTGTAACAGCTTGTTGGGTTAATTAAAAGTGAAGGGATTCGCGGCAGCGCGTGGATCGTTAAAGTCTGGAACAAGCGACAACAATACAACAAACCACAGAGCTCCAGACTGAGTGGAGCCAGCAGCGTTCCACAGCCTCAGCACGACCCCCGCACACTTCCGTCCACAACACAAGGAAACTCTGGTAAAGTAGCACCCAGCGTTTATTACTGCGGCTTCGATTACCTATCGCTTCATTTTGGTTCCATTTTATCTCACAAGGAAAAAATGTTTGCTAACTTAGGGCACTTTCAGAATCAACGGCAGAAGAGGGAACGAAACAAAATTAAGTAAGTGATGACTCTGAATAATGCTTATTTAAGCACGTTTTAACTAATTTTAACAAACGGTGCTATTAAGCAGTGATTAAGAGTGATAACTCCTCAGTTACAACCATTTTTATTGGAGATTACAACGCAAAGAGAAGCACTAGTTTTCCTCTGCAGCGGAGTGATATGCTGCTGTAGGTGTTCCCAGTCGTCTCCAGGGTCTGGAGGACAGTGCATGGGGAAGACGGAGGGACACATCGGGAGAAGAAAATCCAGCGCTTCAATGAAAAGTAGCAACTGGAGCTCAAACGTTAGCAGGAACGATCAGTAGCACGGGATTTATACAAAAGGTATGTGACGTAAATGTAGTTTGTAATTGATGTAAAAGAGTCAAACGCTGAAGAGCTTCCCGGAGGTGCACTCCGCTTCGCGGAGCCGGGGTATGCTGCGCGGAGGCTCGTCACTCGGGTCTCCCGGTGGAGGGCTGGGCTAGCAGCTAGCATAGCTTAGCATAGCGTCACTTACTCGAAGTTTTTAGAAGTTTCTATAAAGGATTGTGGAGACGGCTGGACTGATTTAGACCCATAATTTAGGGATATGAACCGATATATCATTAATATGTGGCCCAAAGACGAAACGAACCTGGATATTATTTATGGAGCGTATCTTTAACTTTACGCTCGTAGGCTGGAAAAGAAAGCTAAGCTAATATTAGCAAACTGTCGAATGATTTTTAACTTGCTGCACATGTTCACAATAGTCCATTTATGGTAATAATATATGTTAATTATACTCTTAAGCTAGATGAAGCTGTTTTTACTGGTGTTCTTGATTTGTGGAACATTAGATGCGTCTCTGAGTCCTTGTTCTCTGTGTGTGTGTGTGTGTGTGTGTGTGTGTGTGTGTGTGTGTGTGTGTGTGTGTGTGTGTGTGTGTGTGTGTGTGTGCGTGCGTGCGCGCGCACGTGTGTGTGTGTGAGAGAGAGAGAGAGAGGTGGGGGTAAAGAGGAATTTGACGAAATATTGAATTTGGGATTAAAATCCTTGAGTTTAATGACTTTCTGAGTGTTCTTGAGCTGCCAAACACGTGACTGTACAGTCAGAAAATATAAAGAGTGTATTGGATTTTTCTGCTCAGGAATTCCCAGTCAGCTCATGAATAATCTTTTTTGGTGAATGTTTTAGATCATAAAACCCTGTGTCACAACGTGACCGTGTGGATTGTGTGTGTAAGACTTGATTGGATTTTCTGTCTGATTGTAGAAAACACTCTGACACTTTGAGGATTTCCATTGAGATGGATGTCAATGGGAGTAACGAAGTTCATTCATGCACTTTGTACACATGATGTCTGAAATGAGCTATGTATTTAAATGTCCTCACATATCTGGGCCTTTTCACTTCATTCAAACAATAAACTGATTCCCTTTCCGATCCAGCTCTGTGTAAATGATGGCTGTGGCTTGGGAAAGCTGGGGGGGAAAAAATCACACCATTTTCATTCTGGTGGTGCATGTGTGTCCCTGCTCATGTCCCACTCTCCTTGGTTTCCCTCAGCTTTCATGTGTCTGTAGAACAATGAGCAGTGGGAGAGGGTGCAGTCCTGTTGGACAGCTGTGGTCTGGACAGGAGGAATGGAGCAGAGATGAGGTGGAGGAGGAAACAGCTCTTTGTGGTTACATCCTTTTTGCCTGAGTGTTTTTTTTTCTTCTCACAAGCCCCTAAACAGCAGCTGTTGTTGCTGCAAGGTCCATGTTTGACATCAGATCAGTGGATCAACTCACATATCTGAGTTTTGTGACACTTTTCTTAGGTTGTAATTAGTTTATCAACACAGTCGTCAGATGCGATGCAGTTATAGGTAATGTTTGCCAGTTAAACTGATGCAAGTGTTGCAGATAGTTCTGTCTCATCGCCTGTGTTTGAATGAGAGTCCGTTATCTTGTGTGGTCCTTGTATCTCATCAGAAATGCTCCCAGATAGGCGGACGTGTCGCCTATTGTTCTTTCACACGCGTGACCAACTGATCAGATTATTGAATCAAGCAAGTCTCTGCAGGTTTGGAACTTGAGTGAAAATTATGTCAGAAAAAATAGAAGAGAGAGGTCAAAGGACTTTCTGATTAGTCCACCAATATTTCTGCTATCAGATGCTTGCTTAATGATGTTACCAGGTAAAGAACTGGAAACAAACCACCTGCTTTTCTTGTGTTTTGCAGAAAGTTGACCAATCAGAGCTTTTGAGTGACGAAGTCGACCTAAAGAGGAGCTGTTGCTGAAGAATGTTCACTTCCTCATAAGACGTGTGTCAGATTTGTACCGGTGAGAGCGGCTGCAGGATTAAGATCTCAGCTCCTGCAGCCTACACCCCCTCCCTCCCTGACTCCCATCAGTGGTGGTGACCCTACCCTGAACAGCTTGCTGGAGGGTCCTTCCTGACCAGCAGCAGCTGCGTCCTGCTAGCTGACTCCCGTTCCTCCCTTGTTTCCTGTCCTTGGTCAGACAAGGCTAAAGCCTCCTCCGCTCACCCCACCCCTCATCTCTGTTTGCTTCTCATACACGCTTCACACCCTTGAGCTGCCTGATTTGCTGCTCACACATTCAGATTCCTATAGTGTCAGCAAGTGACTTTTAAACACTTTGGAAGACCCCAGCTGACCCATTTGTCACGGAGTTCCTCCCTTGCAACATGACCTCCATGTCGAGTCTCTTCTCCTTCACAAGTCCAGCTGTCAAACGCCTGCTCGGTTGGAAGCAAGGAGATGAGGAGGAGAAATGGGCAGAAAAGGCCGTGGATGCGCTGGTGAAGAAGCTAAAGAAAAAGAAAGGGGCCATGGAGGACCTGGAGAAAGCCCTGAGCTGCCCCGGACAGCCCAGCAAGTGCGTCACCATTCCCAGATCCCTAGACGGTCGGCTACAGGTTTCCCACAGGAAAGGTCTGCCACACGTTATCTACTGCAGAGTGTGGCGCTGGCCTGACCTTCAGTCCCACCACGAGCTCAAACCTTTGGAGGTGTGCGAGTACCCCTTTGGCTCCAAGCAGAAGGAGGTCTGCATCAACCCATATCACTACAAGAGAGTGGAGAGCCCTGGTACGTACTTAAATTCTGACTAATTTTTATTTTTATTTCACACATTTGAGACCTAATCTAAACACATCCAGTTAACTCATATGCTCACATTCACATTGCTTTTAAACGCGCTTCTTTTGTTTTGTAAATCGTTCATTCAAAGCTGCAAATTAGGGATAGACCGACACGTGGTATACTTTTTCAGTAGAGCCGATTTAAAGTGGAGTACATCTGTGACCCACCGCGGTGCTGTTACAGAACTTTATCTAAACGTATTTTTGTGTTGCTGAAAAACAACTTCTTTAAAACATGGTTGTCAACTGAAATTTGTTTTATTCACCAGTATATTTAATACTGGGTTAGTTTGTTAATTTGTTTGACTAACCTTTGTTAAATATCTTACCCCTCCTTTTCAGCAGATGCATACTTTGCTGCAATTAGCCGCCATTGTGGTGGACAGGCTTCTTTCCACTGGAAGCGACGAGGCGCTTTCATTATGTTTTGAGTCAAATTTTTACACGCTACTGCATAAAACCCACATTTCAGATCGGTCCAGGCAACAACTTAGACACGTACGCAGTCAGTAAGTTTACATTAGGGCTGCAACTAATGACTATTTTAATAGTCGACTAGTCACCGACTATTGAAACGATTAGTCGACTAATTGGATAATTATTAATTTCTTTAGTTTAGCTCGAGATTGCTTTAATTGTGTGAAAAATGATGATAAACACAAGAAAGATGGGTACTTCAATGGAAAATGCATATTTAATTGAACTTTGCTGCTGACAGGCCAATTCATACCAACAGTAAATAAAAATGCCCCGTCTAACACCAATTAGGCACAGTGCCCAGTCAGTATAGACATAAATGCATAAATAAAATTAAAATACTTTTGTCAGGCACAGTCGGGCATAACATTAAATCTCTCCTTTTAAAAAGTGAAAATACGTTTAAAAAAAGTACAACGTACATCCAAAACAAAACATGTTGGCTTTCGTGTTATTTAAATCTTACCGAGGTGATCAGACTCTGTTTCATTCAACTGTCCGACGTGCTTTCTCTTTAAGTGTTCATGCATCAGCGACGTGCTGCCATGATACGCAAGGACTGCTTAGCAAATAATGCAGGTCATCTTTTTATTCGCCGAATCCGGGCTAGAATGCTCCCAAACTAGATGTTTTGGTACGCGAAGCTACTGTGTTGGACAGCACCATTTCTGTTAGCTGGCGCTCAGCAGACAAGCTATTGCACATGTGCGACTATCGGCAGAGATTGTAATGAAGCGAGATGCCTCACTCGGTTGGAAAAAACACGTCTGGCGACAACGTCGACAATGAAATTCATTGTTAACTTTTTCTGTTGTCGATATTTGTTGACGAATCGTCGCAGCCCTAGTTCACACGCGCATCTAAGTTGATCTAAAGTAAGGGTGTCCGATTTTATCGGTCTACAGATATAATCGGCCAATATTGATATTAAATATGCGTTTTTACTCCTTTTAATGACCCGACTTTTACATACAATGCACATATGGTGTTTCCACTAGGTTTTTCCGGGAGAGGGGGGTGGTGGAGTTATTCGTGCACACGGAGTGTTTTGCAGCCGTGATGCCGGAGTTTCTGGCGTGCAATGACCTTATGTAGGGGAAACGCTGACATTTTATACGTCAAACTCTGGGAAAAACAACAGGAATTGTAAACAAACACTGGTGAAAGTGAAGCAGACAAAGTTAAAACTGGATATGCACAATGGCCGAAGGAATGGACAACAAGGCTGCAGCACAGTGTATTTGGTATGTACTGTGCTGTTTGATGTTGCACGTGTTACTCTGTGGCAATGTCATTATCAGAAGACCGCTTCCACGGTCTCGTTACCGGTATCGGCTCGACTGAGCCGTTTAAATGCAGAAGCAGCCAGGTAATTTTCTGGGTGCTTCAGCACGATTAGAAGCAATTTGTCTTCATCAAGACTAATGCGCTTGCATGCATTTAATAAAATTAGTGATGCACCGATATGACATTTTTGGGCCAATACCAATATTCAATATTAATATCACTGTTATGGCTGATAACCCATATTTTCCGATACCGATATGCTGACATGAATGCTTATAAAATTAGCAGATTTTGTATAGAATGAAAATCATTAAATCTAAATTTACGTTATTATGTACACACACACACACACACCACACATTTAAGCTTCTGAGATGATTACAATCACTGTCACCTGACTAAACAAATACACTTCACTTCCCCTCACCCTCTAAAACAGGTAAACAAATAAACACAAGATAGAAAAAAATATTGGTTTTTAATATCGGCCCAGTTTTATTTATCGGACCAATATTTATGCCGATATATTGTGCATCACTAAATAAAACTGACGTCAGTTTATTTACGTCAGTGTTTCTCAATTATTTTCCTTCACACCCCCTCAGCAATATGATTTTTCACCTGTCACTGCTGGGGTTTTTCCTCTTGTCCGACTGTAATCTAGATTAATCCGGGGGTTATTTTGGCTCAGTCTTATTTTATCGTCTTTTTCTGCCGACAGCCAGCACTTTGGCCATTTCTACTCTCACTCTCATGTGGTGTACGTATGGGCTCTACTTCTGTTGGGTAAAGAAGGCATCCCATTGATGAGTCCGAACAGTGCTGCTGCCTAGTGACTGGGGGTGGTTTAGCATTCTGGGGGACCCCACTAATTGAGAAACACACATTTAGGGCAATAGTTTGGTTTAGGGCAGAAACGAATCATCGAACGATAAACCTGGTAAACTACGGGTAGATAGTCTAATGCTAAGCTAGCTCGTAGTTCAGAAACAAACGTGATGGTTGTGTATGACTAAATTTCAGAAGCGGAAGAAAATCCCCACCATCCCGTTTATTTGTGGATCTCTGCAGCTGCAGCGGTGTGGAGCAGAACCGCTGCAGCTGCTACCTCAAGTCTACTTGTTGCTACTGAGCGTTAGCAAGTCTTCTCCACACGGCAAGTCGTTGTAGCATGTAAATCACAACCGCTTCTATACAATTTAGACTGGTTAATGCTGCCAACCTGTACATAATAAAATGGATAGGCCACCATTACATTGTTGCTAGGAGAAATTAAATGTTATTATAGTTTCCAGTATATTGCTCCTGAACATGTTACTGAAATAATTAAATTCTAGTAATATGTGAATATATTTAAATATGTTTAGATTAAAATGAGTGATATTTAACCTAAAATTTTAATGAAATTTAAGTCAAAATTTGTTCCATAAAATACTAACTATAGATATCAGCTGGGAAAGAGGGAACTAGACAACACCAATTTAATACATGTTGTTGATCCCTTCATCATTTTGTTGTTTTATTTCTTTATAATTTGAGCCACAGACCAGAGACTCGTTTTACTTAAAACGTCGTCAAATAGAATACTCGTTAATTGATGGATGATTCGATAAATACTCGAATACTAAAATATTCGATAGCTGCAGCCGTAGTTTGGTTTTCTAATGCACATATAAACGCAATGACTGTAAAACATTCGGAAATATTCAAAATAAATCAGGTGCAGATTTCCAGTTGCTTAAAGAGCAAGTCACCCCTTACAAGAAGCGTACTTCACTCCCACCTCATGTTTGAAAAATGCAACAAATGCTGTTGCCTAGCAGACCGAGAGGGTGGAGCCACTAACAAATACACACACTCACGACATTGTGACATCATAATGTACCAGTTTACATCATAGCATACCTCTTAGCCAATAGCGGTGGTAGATTTAAATTCAAATGCAGTGAAGAGTTTTTACCTGACAACGGCACAACACTGACAGTTTCAGGCAGAAAATTTAAATTTTAACTAAAATGGACAAAAGTGCAAAACTGTTGACGACACGTGTCAGCAGCACGATTAGACACGCATTTATATAGTTTATCAGAAAAAAATAGTTGATTTGGGGGTGAATTGCTCTTTAACTAGTAAAAAATGTACGCCATTTCCTGTTTAACCTCAATAGCCAAGTTAAACGGAACAGAAAATAAACCATAAACGTTTTTTGGATACATGCTGCCGTCTTTCTCCTTGCTCGGTATTGTGTGAACTCCAGAAATCACGCTTGGTGTTGCAAATATCCCGTGATTTTGTGACCTCGCGCGACAGACTGGGTGGAACGCTTTTGCTCCCGTTACGCGTCTGAAATTCTCCTGGTTGGAAGGGAGCTTGTGGGTCAAACGCTGCTATTACTTTACATGCTACTCATGCGTCTGGTGGAGACAAGAGGTTGTTCTAATACTGTCTGTACAAAATAAAGATCAGATTCAGAAATGTTGTGCATCCAATGTTGCTTTTGGTGTCATTTTAGCATGAAAATAAGGTAAAAAGAAATAAATAAATAAAAAATCTAGTAATCAGCCATGAACGTCAGCAGCACATATCGGCCATCGTCTGACCAGGACCTCTGCAGATCATAATCGGCAATTTAAAAAAGCCATCTAGTCAATCTGCAAACATATTGAAAATAGAGAAGTTGGCATCATTTAATTATTTGCACACGTACATTTTCACATCACATTTTAACTCTTATCAAGACGGATCTTGTTCAGTAGAGAACTAATCTTGTTTTTTCTTTAGAAAAGTTACGTTACGTAGCATTTTTTTAACTTTTAACACACACAACTAAAATATTAGCATTGTTTTCTTTTAAAATCCGGAACAAATATAATATAGATGAAATCCGTTTTGAGCCTTGCACATCCTCTGGAGCTGGTAAAGAAATCCACAAAGGTCGAGAGGCTGTCATCACACAGGCCTGTCCAGCCTGCCTCTTCCATTTCACAGAAAATCAATATCACTAGCTCTCTCAGTCTTATTAGATTATGTTCCTCAGGCACTCCAGATTGGGTGTGGCACCAGAGAGAGGGGCCTGCTAACTGCTGCATAAACCCTCCGACTACATGCTCGTCACAAACTTCTCTCTAATATCATTTCACATCGCTTCAGATAGAACACCTGGCCCTAATGAGCTGGGCATTC